CCGCCCCCCCCCCCCCGGGGCCCCCGGCGAGCGCCAGGGCCCCGCTGACACTCTAGGCGCCGGCGCACGCTGCCTGGCGCTCGCACACGGGGACACTCCCGCCCTGGGACTCTCCCTCCCTCCACACAGCTCGCTGCAGCTCGCCCGCTCCTAGGCACGGCTGCAGCTCTGGCGGGGGATGAGTTCTCCACCACGTGCCGACCGCAGCTAAGTTCCCAGCCGCTTCTCGCCCGGGGTGGGCGCCCAGCGCGACCTGCGCCCGCATCCCTGCCACAGCCAAGAGGGCTGGAAACCAGCTGTCCGGTTCCTCCCAGGCGGGTCCTGACCCGCCACAGAGCGCGCACTTGGATGCGGATGAGGCAACAAAGAACTACCTGGGGAGACTCCAAACACCGCCAGGGCAGCGCTGGCAAAGAGAAACGCGGGCAACCAAGCTCCCCTCGGGCTTCGCAAAAGGAGCCGGGACCCAGGGCTGGGTTGCAGGCTTGATTGTAAAGGCTCCTCCGCTGCAGTTCGAACTGGACCAAGGTGCCGCAGGATTCTCCAGGACAGGAAGGAGCGACGCCAACATAAACCTGAGTCTACTCCAGGGGGCTTTTATCTGGCTGGGGGGGTCTCTTTGGGGAGAGGGAGGGGAAGGGTTGTGCTGTCATGGGGACGTTAGGAAAGCCATACTCTGTGCTGCCCGGAAAGCGTTTGCGCTTCCAGTTGGGAAAGTTAGACACAAGGGGCCAATCCAGGCGTCCAGTCTGGAGCAGCCCAGGACACTTGCGCCACGCCGTTTTCGAGAGGAGGGTATGAAAGGCTCCCGATAATATACACGGCCCTTTTTCTCTTCCAGCAAAAGCGTGGTGTCAGGCTGCCCATAAGTTCACGGGAGGAATTGGAACCAAACTCTGCGGTAAGCGAGGCAACGAGTGGTAGCAAATAGCATGAAAATAATCAGTAAGCAGAAACGAATTCTCAGCCACCGGAGGAACCCGGGAGAGATTCCAAGGTCCTTTTGTGCTGGCGGAGGGTTAGCGGATCGCGGCGGGGACTGTGCTCCAGTTCCAGTGTTTCAAGCGCTGATGTATTTAGGCTGCGTTCTTTTGTGTCATTGTTAGCGTTGTTGTACGGGGATGCAGAAAAGCCCACGGAAACCGGGGCGAAGGAAGACCTGGGCCCCACGGAGAACAGACCGGCCTGTACCTGCAACAACAAACCTTGTAGCTGCCAGAAAGCGGATATTAATTATGCATTTTTACACTCAACAGGTAACGATACTCGGACCCGGTCCTGAAAGTACTAGAGAAAGCCATGATTCCGACTTCTCAGCATTTTGGGCTTTCACAGGCCGCGTAACCCTACAGGGAGACAGACCCTTCTCGGATACTTAAGGGATGGAGACCCACTGCCGAGCTAAATGATAGCACTTGGCTTCTCAGGGCTATTTTAGCACAGCATGACTACACGAAAGAAGGTTTGGGAGGGGGCTTCGATAGAGCAAACATTTATATGAATGTGTGTGCATACACACAAACGTGTATGTGCGTGCGTGTGTGTAAAAAACAAGCAATCCTCTTCCGAGCTAATTCTGTGAGTTCTGGGTCTGTCACTAAGGCAGAGGGAGGTTTACTATCGGAAGGGATAGTCTAAGGATGACAAACTTTTCTAAAATACCGTTAAGATAGTCGGGCTGGCTTGGCCTCTAAGCTACTCTGCCCGGGGAACACTGGCTGCAGCTTTTGTAAGAGATACGAAGCCTGTGACAGGAGATCACGATTTTTAATTCCAAACAAACATTCTTGTCGCATTTATGAATGAACAGCTCGGCCTTTCTGCTCCAGTAAATACCCCGGGGCCCCAAGAGGAATGTGCTGGTGAGAAAAGGTCCCATTCGAACCATCAGTCCCAAGGGCTCTCTTCTCCTGGCCCACGGGGCCAGTGGACAACAAACAACCTTTACAATCTCCTACACATGTAATCGCTACAGTGATACAAAGATACAATCACAAGCAATGGGAGTTTCCATTGGTGCCCCAGCAAGAAAAATCAATTTAAATAAATATATCAATATAAATAAAGATATGAATAAATCAGAGCATAACATAGTATTTCACTTGGAACGGCATTCAAGCATCAATAAGGTATTGCAACCGTCCCATTAAACCATACACAAAGAAGCTATTTTATTGTACTTACAGCGTGTATGCGTTTGTCTCAAATTCTTTTTTTTTTTTTACTTTCCTTTTTCAATATTTTTATAGTTGGCCAGAAAAATGCATTTTAAACACAAATTTCTAATTAAAAAATAATTTAAAGCTCGTCCAGATCGCCTAGAAAAATATGTTCTTAAATAAGCTCTCACCGGATTTCTTATCAAAATAGAAACCCGATCCTCCGCTCACTGAAATCAATAGAAAAGTTAATGGGGCGAGATTATGTCAATAAACTGGAGCTAACATTTCATAATTCCCCCCCTCAGATCTTCTGCCAGCCTGCAACGGGGAACTAACAACTATGTCTTTCCTACAAGATGTTATGGATATTTTGCTTCAGTATGTGGTGAAAAGTTTTGATAGATCAACAAAGGTTATTGATTTCCATTACCCAAATGAGCTTCTTCAGGAATATAATTGGGAACTAGCAGATCAACCTCAGACCTTGGAAGAAATTTTGCTGAACTGCAGAACAACTCTAAAATATGCAATCAAAACAGGTAACAGGCATGCTCAAATTCTATCTTGTGTGATTTTTTACTATTTATTTAAATGTCGCTTGTTGATCCTTGAAAAGTTAGTGAAGTTAGAATACTATTACTCTGTTTGGGTTTAAGCAGTTATTGTAAATTGTAAATACATAACAGTGTCAGAGAAAGAAAGAAAGAAAGAAAGAAAGAAAGAAAGAAAGAAAGAAAGAAAGAAAGAAAGAAAGAAAGAAAGAAAGAAAGAAAGAAAAAATTTGGGGGACTGTTAATATTTTCCTAAGTGAAATGTAGAGTGTTACAGTTTAATGCAATAATATACATTTCTCCTGATTTAAATGTATGCTCCTGTCAAAGATGGAACCTGTGTGTATCAATGGCTACGAAATTCTCCAACCTTTGTAGCCCTTTTAACACTTATGTTTTTACATCTAACACATTTTGGACCTCCATCTTCCGTTCTTTATGTTCTTCCATCCTAACCCGCTAATGGGGATCAAATTCAGCGCTCGGTTACAACGATATGAATTTGGAGCTAAACAAATGTAAATTCGAATTCACACCGAGGTAGCAGAATCCACTCCCTGAAGTCCACGCAACGAGTGCTCAGTTCATAAGCTATGCCGGTTAGGGCCCCCGGAACAGAGATTTATTGTTAATTCCCCTCACCCATTAAACGAGCACTTCGAAGAAGAAAGTGTTGCCCGGTAGGGCGGGGAGGAAAAAAGTAGTTAATTAACATGTCGATTAAAATTGCCATAACAACCATACTAATGGACTTTCTGAGCACAGCTGTGTGCTGATGGCGATGCTATTTATACCAAAGGCCACTGACTCTCCTGTGTGCCCAGTGAATTGAGAGCTTGGTGCTTCGGCTTTCGGTCAGCTTGCCCTGGCGTTGACTTCCGCATCTCCACAGAACCTAAAGAAGTGGCTGCAGAGAACTAGCAATCTAGCTTTGTAGAAATAGGGGAATCTGGTGCAATGGAACGCAAAAAACATGCTTCCCCCCGCTGGATTCTAAGCATGAAAAACAGGAGCTTGTTTAAGGGTCATTTTTGTTATTGTCGAGACACAAAAACGTTCCGATTAATTCTGATCTGTCCAGAGATGGCACCATTTGTGCCTGCTCATGTCGTTATTAGCTTCTCTTAAGCAACCTGCCACATGGACATGATGGTGTTCTCAGTGACGCTAAACGGAAATCAGCAAATTTGTATGTGGACCCATTTTATTAAACTCCGCAGAGCACAGAGGAAACAGAGAGCTGCCCTCAGCCTCCCTTACACTGTTATAGAAGAACCATTTGTGGTGTAAACAAGGGTTGAGGCAGCTCCCACTGGGCGTTTGAATTGCAGAGAAAATATTTTGAAATACAATAAAGCCTTTCAAAGTGTGGGTCCAAAAATGTGACGGAGCCGGGAATGTGATGTGCATATCGGCGGTGCAAGCGACGGGAGACACAGCTTGTAGCCTTTTGGAAACATCGAATGTCGTGGAATAGACCCAGTCCCGGGCCATTGGCCTCTTTGGCAAAGCTCCCATTGACTTCAAAGGGTCAGGCTCGGTCCGGTGTTTTCACTATTATGTGATTCTGATGTTACCTGAAAGCTACCCTGAAAATATCCGAGTAACATACATAGGGAATAATTGAAGTGATTACATTTGGTGCGACTCCGGGTCTGCCAGAGTAAACACATATTTGAACTGGCTTGGCTCAAACATTTAGCACATTTCAAAGAGGATTTGTTAGGCTCGCTCTACTAATATATAGGCGCAGTTCCCATTACTTTTCTGTTCATATCCACGCAATGAAATAACAGGGACGTGTACTTCTCTACCAACCCTTCAAAACAATGTCACTGTGTTTGTTGGGCCGTAGACATGTGAGGAAATCCCCCGTTTGTAATTCAACATACAGAAGAATTATTCTTGAAATTATATTTCAAAGTGCAAATGTCTGCAATGACCATTTTAAACATGAAAACATTTACACATTGGGGGGGGGGGGAGAGCTGTTTGCTAGGTCGCCTTTGCGTTTGACCAAGGAGGAGGTCACGCCGGTACCCGGGTTTTACAAGAACACCCGAGCAGGGGATGCAGCTCCGGAGTGTGATTGCATGTTAAGTGGTTCCAGAAGGAAATCAGATTCCTTGGCCCGGGGCTATCCGTGTCCGTATCCCGTAATCAGGAGCGTTTCGGGATTCTTCCCTGGTGCCAGGCATGTCAGGTTTCAGGTGCCTATGTCCTTTGCCTGCCGCGTTTGAATATTCAAGCGGCATAATTGTGGTTTCGCCACTATTGCAGGAGTCCTGCTCCCGCCAGGAGCTATTTCATACGAATCCCGGGCTGGCGCTGCGTACACGCCGAAGCCCTCTGCCCTGTGCAACGGGCTGGGCGTGGTAGGACGAAATCCTGGCCGTGGCAGGTGGGAAAGGGTCGCTGTGCCATGACTCCAGGGTGTGGCAAATAAGGCACCTGAGCGCAACGCGCAGTACTAGGCGCGGCCGGGGTCGGAAACAGGCTCCCTTTCGGCCTGGCTCTGGTGTGGCGGGGCTGCAGCCCCACAGCTGACCAGCTCGGCCAGAGGCAACGAACAAAGGCACCGGGGGTCCGCTCCGAACCGTGACTCGGCGCCCTGTGTCCGACGGGGCTTGGGGGCGGAGTGGGATTCAGGCCACAGACGAACGTGCTTTGCTGCTGCATGGCGAGTGGTGCGAATGTTTGGGGGCGGGCAGGGCACTGAGGCTCGGGTCGCCCTCGGAACTGGATGCCTGGACTTGTTCTGACCCTGGCCGAGCCTCAGCGCTCATTGCTCGGCTGGAGAGCCCATTTGCGGAGGCTAGAACGGCTGTCGGCAAACCGACTCAGCCGTTTTCCGATGTGCGCGCTTAACCACGGGCCGGGCCAGTTTCCCAGCGAGTGGCTCGTGTGCCTGCCTGTCTGCGCAGAGGAGCGGTGTATTTTAGCCGCCGCTTGGGAGGGGACTTACGATAAGCTCTGGTCTGCGCTGCTGGGTACATTGCGAGTGTGCCCCGAAGCGGTCTCGGGAGTTTGGGCCAAGCACAGTGGGTGCGCTTGCTAACGGAGCAGAGGAAACAACTGGGGACACACGTTAATTGACAGATTTAGCCGCCTAATCTGCAGCCAGAGCCGGTTTCCCAGGCTTTGTTCCCGCTTTGAGTTCAGCGGAGCACTAGCGAGTCTAATTGTTCACTCAGTATCAACTGATTGTCGGAAACAAGTCAATGGGTATTGCTTAATTGTGATTGGGGAGTAATGTCACGTGGCCTCCCCCCTTCCCTGACTCAGTGCGTCAGACAGGTGCAAAGCTGGTGCGAATTCTTCTGTTGGTCCAGTACAATTCAGCTTCTAGGAATAGTGGCGTCTGCAGCGCGGCGACTCATCGCCGGAGTTTGCGGGGGTGTAGAAAGTAACGGAAACGCCAGCAAACCAAGAGCTAGTGTGTGTCCAGCTTTGCTTTCGGTCAGGGCTATTGGCGAATACAAAGGGGGCCTGAGCTGGTTGATTTGCCCAGAGAGAGAAAGAGGGAGGGAGAGAGCGAGCGCGGGTGCTGCCCGTTTCCCTTTGTTCCTCTTCTGTAGACGCAGCTGCAAACGCACTTCATTATTAGAGGGCATTAGAAGACTTGTAAATAAATAGCAGAGAATGCAAGGGGCAAACGCTGGGCTGTCAGCGCCTTGAGGTTGCATTGCCGGCTCTGACTTTGAATCACTGTGTTACTACCATGGCCGTATTTCTTACATCAGTTTGTTCAGCTGTAACCTTAGGCTAGTATCTAGAGCAGTGGTCTCCAACCTTTTTACTCCCAAGATCACTTTTTAAGTCTCAGAACAGGGGAAGATCTACTGCCCCGCCCCTTCCTTGAAGCCCCGCCTACATTACATGAGGAAATCTAATGTAAATGTACTGCGCAGGTGCGCAGTTCTGAGAGGGCTCAAGAGCTACTCTTAGAGCCCCTGAGATCTACTGGTAGCTCGCGATCTACTGGTTGGTGACCACGGGATCTAGAGGATCCAGATTACTTTCAGTCCTCTTCTCCTTCAGTTAGACAATCTCCATTAATTTAATCTTATCTCCTAGGACTGGAAGGGACCTTGAAAGGTCATCGAGTCCAGTCCTCTGCCTTAACAGCAGGACCAAGTACCATCCCTGACAAATTTTTGCCCCAAATCCTTGAATGGCCTCTGCAAGGATTGAGCTCATAATCCTGGGTTTAGCAGGCTACTGCTGAAACCACTGAGTTAGTTTAAACAAGTGTTAATAGCCCTGTAATATGGTAGGAGAGCACCAGTCTATTGCTTTTTACTAATTCCTCAAGCAAGATCTGCTTATGTGGTCAATGAGCCAGCATTTATGTGGGCCACCTAATAGGGTGAAAGAACTTTACAGTCTCTCTAGGACCTTAAGCAGTCCCAATAATGGAGCATAATCTGAGATTTGTGATTCAAATTGGATTATATCCTCCCTGTTATCCATGGAGAGTGGGGCCCAAGTTTTGCTGAAGCGATGGCAAGTGAAAACATCATTCTGCTTGCCACCTTCACTTTGAGGAGATCCCGGGGAGACAGCTACATACATGAAGGACTCTGGTTTTGAAGGGGGTATGGGTGAGCCAGCACCAAGCAGAGCTAGGGCTGGAGGAGAACCTCTCTCTGCAGCACCACCCCTCTGACAACTATTGGGAGAAGCCCAGCTGTGAATGAGAAAAATGTTGAGCACAGGGTTCCTTAGGGAGCAATTCTGCTATTGGAGATCAGAGGTAGGGATTGGCCAGAGACTCCGGGCTCTGCAGAAATGCACCAAATGTTATTCCCCAGGGCTTCACCGTAGACTCCCAGCTGGATGCCCCTTGAGAGTTCCCTGAGGCAGGACATGATTTGGCCCTGAATTGTTGAAAGCTACCAGAAAATATCACATCTCCAGTGAGGCTAGAATCACTTGCTGGCAGATACCCAGAGCAAGGTCCTGCCACATTGCTGAATAACTGTGCTATGTTTGTGTGGCTGGAGCAATAGGGCCATCCCAGTCATAATGGGAATTCTCAAGTCCCCTGAGCATCAGTGGGTTAGGCTCTGTGCCAGCTGCAAAGATAGAGGGAAATAGTGATTGACCAGAGAAAGGTATCATGGATCTGTGCTTATGATGTACCAGAGGACAGCAATCCTTGCAGAGGTGAGGGCTGCTATTTCAGGCCTTAAAATGGTATAGCAGCTGAAGCAAGGTTGGATTGAAGGTGCTTGTCCATGGATTAAGGGGTGGCTGGAGCTGGTTTTTGTTTTCCACTCCCAACCCTGACTTTCTTACAGCCACAAAGCCCAATTACTCAGCTTTTGTATGCTCTGACAGGGGGGGTGAGTAATTCTCAGCACAATTCATTTAGCCATATGTATGTGCCTGATAACAGGCCACAGGAGACTAGGAGATAAGTTTTCTCTTGGGTTTTGTTGGCATTTCTTCAATTACCCTGTTGTATTTTATGTTTCCCGTGCAGTCAGCACTAGTCTGAAGTCATTGGGTTAGGACAGGTATTGTCTAAGCAGGAACGCTTTCCTCTGAATGAGATGATATTTACGTAATTGCTAATCTTTCAAAATTCTTGCTGGTAACAAAACCATGTATCTCTAAATAGGGGGCAGGACATGCCTAGTCAAGGGAACTCTAATATGTTATTTGTATTCCCGGTTTTAATAGCTCCGGGCATATTTTTGAAATAAAGTCTCTGACAGGAGGTTAGAAAAATCCAGAAGTCCGTGAGAGAAACCTTGTAACTGGACTATCCAGCTCATTGAATATATTCTCACACATCATTCCAATGTTCCCTTTTGTCAAGTTTATTTAAAATCACAATTACGAGGAAGCTCTGTTATTTGTAACTGTATTCTGACAGGGAAGAAATGACAAGTATTACCACAATCCACGCCATATTTGTACGATCATCAGCCGCTGAGTCATGTGCAAAGCAGTCAGCAAAGTGTTCCATTTTCTCCTTGCCCCGTCTTTTATAATCATTAGGCATCCATCACTGATGTTGTTATAAGCAGTGGCAAGCTCTTCAGATGGTGTGTTGTGCATGCCTTTTAAATGAAGCCAAAGCAAAAGCACAGTCGGTGACATGTGACACACATGCAGAGGCAAATAGCTATTTTAGTGCAGCAGCATCATGGTAATTTTCGAAACAAATGCGAAAGCAACAGAAAATAATAGAGCTTATAATTCCTAACCCTACTTCATTATTCCTGCTTTACTTATTTTGAAATAAAAAAGGGGAACATAATGTCTCTGCTACGAGAAATCTGTTGGAGTTCTGTTTCACACATTGATGATGCTTTTCCGTTGTGTAAAAACCCTGAGATAAATACACTAATCAGTAATGAGCAATTTCATTCAATCAGACGTCTAATACATTTTCCATTTTATACAGGGCATCCTAGATATTTCAATCAGCTTTCAACTGGATTGGACATGGTTGGATTAGCTGCAGATTGGCTGACATCAACAGCAAATACTAATATGTAAGTAGCTGAATTTGCCAGTATCGTTATGTAGGCTAATTTTAAAATTAGATTCTGCAGTATTTGCTATATGTGAAAGAAAGCCTTTTATGTGAAACTAGCAGGAAAAACATTTCTCAGCCTTTTAAATTTTAGGACAGCCATCATGTTATTTTAAAACTGCTTTGCATGTCTCCCATAAAACATTAATTGCATTAATAAAACGACAGCTTTGATAAGATTCCTGCAAATGAAGGGAAAAGCATTTTGTATTTTATGCACACAAATATGTAAATATGTAAAATGTGAAATGGAAACACTGACAGATGCTGTTATGTAAATAGACTTGGGGTACATCTACACTGCACCATTTTTCCGTAATAACAGCCGTAGCATCCACACAGCAATTGCGTTATTTTGAAAGAAAGTTCAGATAACGGCGGACTTTTTCTGACATTGGTAAACCTCATTCCACAAGGAATAATACCTCTTAAGAAAAAGCTTTTTTGGAAGAGGGTGTATGTGGACACTCCACTTCTGCTATGTCGAAATATCTCCTCTCCAGGGCCATTCTAAAGGCCATTATTCTTCCCCAATGCCTCCTGGGGATCTAAATCAAGATAGTGCATCCACATTAAGGGAGCCTGCCTCAGACTAATTTTGAGGTTTTCCTGAAGTGTGAACGCTCTATTTCGAAATAAGCTTTTCTGGAAGATATATTCTGGAATAGCTTATTCTGAAAGAAGCTTGCAGTGTAGACATACCCTTGCTTACAAAAGAACCTGACCTTGCAAGCCTTACTCATGTGGGTTAGTGCCATTGGCTTCAGTGAGACTATCTAAGTGGCAAAAGGCTGCAGGATCAGCCCCAGGTCTGTAAATTGTTGTATGCACATGATTTGTTTTATGTACAGGTCCCATTGACTTCAGTGAGATTAGATATGCATGTGAAGGGCCTTGCTCTGACCAATAGCTCTTGAACACACTTTAGTCATGTGAGCCTGCAGGAAACTGTGTCAGCTCCACTACTGCTGAAGTCAATGGGAACTGAGTCCTCGGCACCTCACAGGAGTGGGCTTGTAAACATTTCAACTTCAAGGCAGAAAGAAAATAATCACATTTACTGCAAAATATTGTTCTTTGACTTGTACACTGTACAGTATATATGTAATATAAATTCAGGGTTTGACAATGGAAACAATCATGTAGGTCTTTTAATTAGTAATGTAATGTTTTAAATAAAAAGAATAAAATATGGCCATTACTACATTTCAGGTTCACCTATGAAATTGCTCCAGTGTTTGTACTTTTGGAATATGTCACGCTAAGGAAAATGAGAGAAATGATTGGCTGGCCAGGGGGCTGTGGCGATGGGATATTTTCACCTGGTATATGATATTTCAAGCTTTCTTTATATTTCAGAGTATGCTATGACATGATTTATCAGTAAACTAGCTAACGAGTCTATACAATTAAATCCACAGTTTCAAGAGGTCACTCACTAATAACAACCACTGTCCTCTCTTGGATAAAAATACTGCACATTTTTGAAATTCAGGGATGTAATTATTAGGGACTTTAATGTCGGTCACTGTTGAATACTCCCTTCAAGCAAATTGTACTGCATTATGAACAGCAAGAGTAGTGCATGGAAAAATAATCAGAAGAGACATTTGCCCTGCAGTTCTGCTATGTTCCTACATTCTTATGGATTACATACAATAAAAGAATATAGTGTTAATAATGAGACAGAGAAACACTCTGATGTCTTCCCTCATTACAGTGGAAATTTAAGTATGCAGGAAAATGTAGTATCCCTGTTAGTAAATACAGTGCCTGCAAATCCTTATTTATGTGAATAATTTGACATAGGTGAGTTGTCTTATTGAGTTCCATGGGACTGCTCATATGTGTAATTCAAGTGTGCAAGTGCTTGCAGGAGCAGAGACCTAGCTTCTTCAAGGCAAATCAATGTGTCAAGAAATCAGGAAAGAAATCCTTGTCAGTGCCAAGCACTATTTCCTGGAGCCATCTGATTATTTTTAGCATGTAATTTAATCTTTCGCATCACACTCGTCGTCACATCCCAATTTTCTCTGAAACGTTATTATTTAAAATTACTTATATATTTATCTCTCAAATCCCCAGAAACTAGCCAGAAAAGGGACAAAGACTTAGCACTGGATAGATTGCCTTGGCTTGTCAGTTTCACAACAACGTGAGGACCCCCTAGGGGAGGAATCTGTTCTGGAAAGAAAAGTTCAATGGTCTTAGATGTGGAAGGGAAAGATGTTTTGACTGTCACCTGATGAGTAGACTGTACAACTAATTGTCACAGCTACTTCTGAGCCTGCCCTCATGTACATGGATGAGCTCAAAAGTTCATTCCTGTGCAGAGGACTAATACAAACTCTAAATCACATGCTTTCAAGATTGCTTAAGTGACTCATGAGCCATGTTCTGGTCCTTTGCACAGGGGTGAATTTCAAACCTAATGAGGAAGGGAAATTTATATCACTTATTATTAATGAGCATTTCAATAGTATTATATGAACCTGACCTCATCACTATTGAAGCAAGGGGAGTTTTATTTCATAATGCACAGAACCTGCTGCTGTTCATGTCTACCTTCTCACAGCCAAAGCACTTCACATGCAGAAAGTGAAAACCTGAAAGGGCTTAAGCAGACAAAGGGGGAGACACTGTAAGCTACAGTGTCATCAGCAGTAGTGTACAAATAGGAGCAAATCCTTCATTACACTAAGGTCACTTTCCTTCTCCTGACGTAAGGCAGGAGGATGGGATTGTGCCTTTCTGAAAGTCAATATTATGCAGGGCTCTATACTATTTGTAGAACATAGATAAAATTCAGCCTGAACTATGTTGGTTGAACTCCCATGGCAGTCTCTGGACCAAATCAGCTGTAGTGTAAGTTGTATGTTGGATGTTGAGGTGGTCAAAGATTGCGTGTAAGTGTTAAAGTTTTGTAGCTTGCAATGATTTGACATTCAGTGTATTTGCAAAGCAAGTGTAACATTCAAGTGGTAGATGAAGTAGTGGATTAGCAGTCAACAATAGGGTTCTATTGTTATTATTCATTGTTTGTATCATGGTAGTGCCTGGAGGTACTACCCAAGCTCATGGCCTTGTTCTGTGAGGGTATGTCTACCCTACCCCTCTAGTTCGAACTAGCGGGGTAATGTAGGCATACCGCACTTGCAAATGAAGCCCGGGATTTGAATTTCCCGGGCTTCATTTGCATAAGACGGGCGCTGCCATTTTTAAATCCCGGCTAGTTTGAACCCCGTGCCGCACGGCTACACGCGGCACGGAGTAGCTAGTTCGGATTAGGCTTCCTAATCCGAACTAGCTGTACTCCTCGTGGAATGAAGCCTAATCCGAACTAGCTACTCCGTTACTCCGTGCCGCGTGTAGCCGCGCGGCACGGGGTTCGAACTAGCCGGGATTTAAAAATGGCGGCGCCCGGCTTATGCAAATGAAGCCCAGGAAATTCAAATCCCGGGCTTCATTTGCAAGTGCGGTATGCCTACATTACCCTCCTAGTTCGAATTAGGAGGGTAGTGTAGACATACCCTGAGGCACTGTGCAAACATACAGTGACAGAAAATCCCTGCCCCAGAGATTTTACAATTTAAATAAAAATGATAAAGAGTAAGAGGGAAAATAGAAGCACAGAGAGGTGAAGTTACTTGCCCAAAGTCAGACAGCTGGTCTGTAGCAGAGTTGAGAACAGAAGGCCAGTGGCCTACTCATTAGATTAGACAATGCTGTCTCCTCTAAGGCAAGCAAAGATAAACTAAAGAAAAGGGAACCAACACTCAGGTACCACTTAAACTTACTTGCATATCTTTTCTGACCAATTTTACACTCAATGTGGAACTTATACCACTGTTTATATCACATCTGAATTTGTCTCACTGCCTCTAAAAGCATCCTCTAGATCAGGGGTGAGCAATAAGATGGTGGTGGTTCTCTGGGGTTAGTCCCCGGTTGGCTGCCGCTGCTATATTTACTTGTGTCTCCAAAGGTACAGGTGCTTGCAGCTCCCGTTGGCCGCAGATCACCATTTCCAGCCAATGGGAACTGCAGGAGACAGCACAGACTGGGACACTGCTTCCCACAGTTCCCATGGGCCAGGAATGGTGATCTGCAGGCAATGGGAACTGCAAGAGCCTGTACCTGTGCATGCACAGGTAAATATAGCAGTGTTGGCTCACCAGGGCTAACCCTGGTGAACTGGATCTGGCCTGTTGGCCGGTATTTGCCCACTGCTGCTCTAGATTAGAGGATTTCACCAGGTCATGGTGCCATACTAGTTAACAGTATGTCCCACTAACTGCTACTTTAGGTTTTGTTTGTGGGTTTCTCCTTGTTTCTGCTTTGCATACAATCCCTTCTGTTACACCTGAGACATACTGTATGGTTGTGTTTGCCTCTCAGCTAATTGCTCTTAGTAGAGCACTATTAATCAGGAGGTGGCACTATGGAAAAGGCTGTCTCCTAGGGAGTTAATGAGGCTGCATGTACAGTGTTTGCAAACACAATTAGAGCTGGCCAAGAATGTTCAGATGAAATTTTTTTCCGCAGAAAATACAGAATAGTCAAAACCAAAACTGTGTGTAGGAGTCAGTATTGATGGATATCCTGATTTGAAAAATAATTGGAAACAGGATATGTCAACATTTTCAAAATAAAACTTTATTTTTTTCAGTTTGAAACAATGTTTTGTTTTAAAATTTTAGTTAATTTACATCTTGATCCAGGTTGGAAAAAAAATTAAATCTCAAAAATTCTTGGGGGAGAAGGTAGGAAAACCATTGCCCCAAAGCCATTAAATCACAACTAATAAAACAGCTTTTATAGAGCCTAAAGACTTTCTTTAATTTTTCAAACTACGTGATGGAGCAGTCCTGTTAGAGTGCAAAGATATATTAATAGCAACACTGCTTGGATAGTACCAACCTAATGGGCAGGGCAGTAGTCATGTGGATGACAATTAGATATACCCTTATTGCTAGATTAAAAGAGTAGCACATTTAGGTAGAGGGCCTGTTTCAGTTAGGATATCTGATAGGTGGTTATATTAAGTGTAATGACCTGCAAACCACGTGACCAGTGGGAGAAATCCTGGCCCAGTTAAAGTCAATGGAAGTGTTGCCATAGATTTCGGTGGGTCCAGAATATGCCAAATTGGTCAAATTCTGTGAATAATCTATTTAGCCACAAAAATGAGGCTCCTGTTCTGAGTAGCAGTACCCCTAGATATAGCCTTCCCATCCTGAATAGGAATCTTTCTTCCCTGTGCAGAGAAACTAGCTTCAAGGGAAATGGAGGAGGTGTGTGTAGGGGCTCCACATTCCCTGGTTTTCTGGAGTGCATATTTGCCCTGGTCGTCTGGAACCTGTAGTCCTGCATCATTCATATATGATTCTGATCAAAGCAGATTACTTATTTATAATTCACACTGCTTAAGAAATAGTACACTACTGTGCCAGATCTGCTTGTTCAGGCAATAATCAAAACTATCTTCCTTTTTTTCTCTGTGTCAGGGTACTGTACCATCCATTTAGGACTAATCCCTCCATCTCTGAAGGACAGAATAGTTTTTATATAAAGCTCTCATTGCTGTGAAGATAAGTCTGCAATTCTATCCATTCTCTGCAATTGACCATATATACTGAGACCTGATTTTGAGCTGTACTTTTTCAGGTGTCTTTGGCACTCACAATTAATTATGAGCATAAAAATGTTCCAGTAAAAATGAGAGCCTAGGTTAAGACCTATTCATAAATGTAATTCTAAATTGATAAATAATAAAGGAAGTGATAGAATTGGTCCATTTGTGAGTACACCTACATTCTATGTGTGGTGTTAACACTAATTGCAAGTCATTGGCCAAATTTCTCAAACTAAGATGCCTTAATTTAGGCACCTAATTTCATAGTCAGGCAACTGAATACTTTAGAGATGTAAATTTGGCCTCAACCTCCCTGTTTCAATTTCTTCTTTTGTCCAAATAAACATAAAAATACCTACATACCTCACAAGGAGTTGTGGAAAATATATCACTTACAAGACTGCTTCTGCTCTCACCAGTTTTACGCTGGTGAAACTCCATTCATTACAGTGCAGCTAATCTTCATTTACAGCAATGCAAGTGAGAGCAGAATGAAATCCACTCCTTATAAACACTGAAGATTAGTCTTCATTTAAAGAAAACTCTGAACTATGGTACCAGTTAGTAATTAAGATGCAAGCACAATTCCTGGTGGGCTGTGGAATTGCATACTTAACTCCATGTTCACAGTGATAAAAAGAAAAAGCCAAAATAATGTGAAATGTACCAAATCAGGGCCTGAGCTGGTGTAATGTGATGTAACTCCATTGTGTTCAATGGTGTTACACTTATTTATGCTTGCCTACAATCTGACCCACCATTTTAAAACCTAAAACAATGATTAAGCAAATACAGAATTATTATAAAACCTGGAGCCCAGTCAGTGTTCCCTTTAAGCTATGTGCTTGTGCTGCTACTCAGGAGAGATTCAAATGTCATTCAGATGATTAGCAGAGCACCCACAGCTAGTTTTGTGTTTCTACTTGTGGTGTACATTCACACATGCCTCGGGCACATAACAAAATTCATTCTGCACATGGATGGAAAAATCTGTGTATGGATGGAAAAGATTAGAGGAACATTAACCCAGGGTCCATTATATATCTATAATAACAATAGGTTGTTTTGCCATATCCAGATCTTACTTATTAGTTGCTGAACTACAGACCCATTTTACAGCGTTTTAAATAATGAAAGAAAATGAAGAGCAAACTTTTACTGTGTTTCTGTCTAAATTGTTTAATATAAGCATTAGGTACTTACGTAGACGGAAATAAGGTTCACCTTTAGCCTAGGTGTATCAAGCTGACACTTGAAACTGATGCTTTTAATCAATGCATTAAAGTGATTTTCTTATAATATTGTTAGAGAAATTTAATCCCGCTCCATCCCCTCCATGAAAAAAAAATCATTTCAGAGGACAGGGTTTTAAAATAAAAAGAACAGTTGTTGGACCGATATCCTTCTTTTCTTTTTCTGGTTGCTCTAATGCTTTGACCTTGTGGCATAGCCAAGACACCCAAAGTGGGACAGATGCTGGAGTCTTTGAGGGCAGAGAGTATGTCATGTTCAAGTGCTACTTGGCAACTTTCCCAGTGATGGTTTACACTTTGCCTTCTCACACAGGGGGTCAGAGCATCACAATAATACAGACTAATGGCATATGCAACTGTTCTTAGGAAAGAGATGGATACATTTGGGGAATGAAGGGATGTGGCATCCAAGAATGGGGACAAGGCTACAACCCCATTTTGGTCAGCTTAACTTTTCAGATATGTCCTTGCCTTTGAGCCTGGAAAGTGTGTAAATAAACCCATTTGATCTATGCCCCCAATTAGAGGAACAATGAGTAAGAACCATTCATGCTCCTCTGCCTAGCAACTTGAGTTGGAGAAATTGTAACTAAAGTATAGTTTGTATTGAAATGATGTTAATAATTCATAGAAAAATAACAGTGTATTACTGTGGACTCCAGGTGGTGCCATATCTAACATGTATGCTATGTTGATTGCACGTTTCAAGATGTTCCCAGAAGTCAAAGAGAAAGGAATGGCAGCTATCCCCAGGCTGGTTGCCCTCACTTCAGAGCATGTATGTGTTTCTATTTTATCCAATTTGCTAAACTTGCTTTTGTTAATTAAACCAGGATAGAACAAATACCCGATGAAGGGATTCAGAGTTACCTGGCTTCATTTCTGTTATATTCTCACTGGGAATAAAAAGGGCTTGTTTCTTGTTACACATGAAGGGATATACTGTATGCTTGATGTTGAAATGCATGATGCTATAAAGCAGGGTCTATAATTAATTGTGTCTTTATGGCTTTCACCTATATCAGTGTAAATCCTTGTGTGAAATACAGTGTGAATGAGCTCAGAATCAGGCTCTATAATACACTGGTGATGATTTCTCTGTTTACATCAATCTAATGGAAATAGCAAAACTCTGTAAATCCAAACATCAGTAGCTGATATTGATCCTGCTGTAATTTAATAACAAGCTTATAACATGCATGAAGACAGTAATAGTGAAATGCCCATACATGAAGTAGGGGTAGGTTGGCTTTGCCTTTGATTTATCAACTCCATGATCCAAAGCTTAAGCCCAGCTTCTTTGCCAGTAAGGGATGCATATGCCTGGACACTTGCATACACTGACTGTGCACTGAGCTAACCAGTGCTTGGATGGGGAAGGTGGCATCATACACAAGATATGTGGAAGAAAAAAAACATAACTGCCCTAAGTGTGGGAGATGTAGTGAGTTTCCCTTTGTCTCTGCATTGTGGTATTTGTTTGGCTTTAGGGTTGAATTAAGCCCCCCCGTGGCTATAGTAGGGGAAGAGGGTAGAAAGAGATTGACAGAGCCAGACTTCATGCTCCCTCTTGTAATGTCCCTCCTGGTGATTGCCTTTAGATAAGGACGAACCTTTACCTACTAGGGCATCACCAGAAGCACTGCACATACTCAGTGCCTCCCCAGGCATCATCCTCAAAGATCTCACTGCCACACAGAGTACTGTGAATCGTCAAAGCTGGAGCTTCCACTGCTAGGAAGGATGAAGGGTTAAGTGGCCTCAAAGCTGTTACATGGGTGTTTATGAGGAAGGCCCCTTTCAGTGTCTGTGGTTACTCCCATGCCTGCAGAGACTAGATGGTCCTGCAGGAGCCACACTGCAGAGCAACTGAGCTAAGAATTTAGCCCCAGAGCAAGCAAAGAGAAAAATAATCCATATAATAATAATGACTCTCCAAAAGGGCCAGGAAGCAATCATAGAACTGGAAGGAACCTCAAGAGGTCATCAAGTCCAGTGCCCTGCACTCATTGCAGGACCAAGCACCATCTAGATTATCCCTGACAGGTTCTTGTCTAATATGCTCTTAAACATTTCTAATGATGGAGATTCCACAACCTCCGTAGGCAATTTATTCCAGTGCTTAACCGCCCTGACAGTTAGGAAGTTTTTCTTAATGTCCAACCTAAAACTCCCTTGCTGCAATTTAAGCCCATTGGACACATAATCAATAGAAAACTAGGAACTAAACAAATTCTTATAAAGAAGATTGTTTAAAATAATAATTCTCCCTGGTCCTTATGTAAGCTAACAATAGTTCATAGAACAGGAACAGTGCACAATGAATCAACTATTAAACCCAAACTATTATACTCAAATTAATGAAATGACTCTTAATATCATTAAGATTTCATACTAAGGGGCAGACTTATTGCTACTTAGCGTGATTAAAAAGTATTCCAAAGTCCAAGTATGTTACCACAGTATGTAATATAATCCCTGAGAGCTGACATTTATACTTTTTAAAATGGTCTTAAATTACAGTTATTTACAACTTCCATAGAACAGCTGCAAAACCACTAATAACAAAGCAGAATCCCCATTTCCAGGACTCAAACTACTCCAGTTAACTATAGTATCCCACAGTATCCATCAGTATGCCTGTTAGGAAATTGCTTGGTGAAATCAAGTCTGTTGGGACTGAGTCCTCTAACACATAATTCATTATACAAATCTTGTGGATTTATTTATTTTAAAGTAAAATAGAAACTGTTAGAATGCCAGATATGTCATAGTCCAAGCAACCTACTCCTATTCAGAATAGAAGTGTTGTTCAGAATCAGAATACACCCATGGATTTTTGGATCTTAGGGCACCCCACTGGCCTTCTTGTCCATGTAATATTATTCAATCTGACATTAGCTTCTCTCTGATTCCAAACAGTGTTCCACTACCAAGCAGTAGTGCTACAGGGTGAGCATTCCATACACTTGACATTATCAGCCCTCAGTCTGTGTTTGTGATGGAATAGTAAATCCAGGTATAAAATTGATATATATATATATCGTTAGATGAATAAACTGTGTTTGTGATGGAATAGTAAATCCAGGTATAAAATTGATATATATATCGTTAGATGAATAAGGATGATGTGTCAGGGGAGAAGTAAAAATCCAACAGAAGCAAATCCAAGACAATAATGTCAGCACAAGCAGTCAGTCACCAGTGTAACTCTAGCATAATTCCATTGTTACATGAATAGAGTTACTCCAGATTTACACTGAAATCAGTCTGGCCCCTGGAGCTACTGAATAAGCAGCCATCTAGAGTTTGTTTCAGTGAGAAGACCCTTTTTATTCGGTACAATATTATGACACAACTCTGACTCTGCATCACTTCTACTCTGCTCTACCATTTAGGACACTACTACAGCTAACCTACAACTTTATGGGTCAAATTCAGCCTGGTATAAACTCCATTAAGTTGCATTTGCTTACACCAGAGCTAAATGTAATGTTATATATTTACTGGCACAGCTTTCTAGAGCCAAATGTGGCTTTCATTCACACTAGATGCAAATTAACTGCCTTTAAGTCAATGCTGCTGCTTTGTGTCTGGAGTAAGAGAGAGCAGATTTTGTAAATGGATCCTTCATAGGTATAAATCATGGATGCCACCTAAATTTCATTTTTATATAACTTTTCAAACCCAGTGAAAGGCAAGACACAGGGCCACTTCTTTGATCCCACTGTGTGCACTATGAGCTGTTCTGGCAATGAAAAGCAGACTGAACATGGCTTTAAGTGTTTAATTTAAGGCTTTAAGTGTTCAGTTAAGATGTTTCCTTACACAGTAAGGGGAGTATTGCATAGGCCAAGGAAAAGCGGGGAAAGTTGTCCAACACACCTTTGTGCTGCATCAATTCCCATGTGCCAGAACAGTCCCCTGGGGATCTTGGCATTTCGCATGATTTAGAGCAGCCCTATGGGTTCTGCAAGTTGCTCCCTGGGACTGGACTGTCATCTCAGGATCAGATATCTCCCCTCCTCTAAGCTAAATTGCCCATCGAATGCCTGGTCCTATAGATCTGGCCCTCTCCAAAGCAAATTATTACTTTTTTCATTTTGCACTTGGGTCCGTATATCCTTCAACGTAAACCATATGCTGTACATTTGGGTCAAGGAGGAAGTGGGCAGGGATTCTGTTTTTCACCATCAAAGAAAGGTAGCTTTGTTCCTAACATGCAAACTGAAATCATTGTTAATTCACTGAGTAGATTACCTCATTTACAAGGATTAGTAAAACTGGTGAACTTGATTGAGGAATAACTCCATTTAAATCAATGGATTTACATCATATACCAGCACAGAGTCCAGCTGAAGTCAGTGGGGTTCCATAGGAGCATAGGAGTCCACTCCTACTCAGATCAGATTGCAGGATTGGGGCCTTGTTGCTATAGCTCCAGCTTTGGTTGCTTGCTTCCATTTTAAGACTGGTACAAATTTCCCTTGGAGCATTCCACAAATAAACCAAAGCAAACCAGATGTTGGCCTTGGACTTTGTTGCCTAAGGAAGGCTGTGTGCGGACAGAGGGTTTGAAATGTAAAAGGTACAAACATTTGATTGTCAGGCAAAGACACAGAATTATGATAACATCTCCTCCCCCAACATTAACAAAGTGCCTGCTAACCTCCTAGCCGTAGCAAATGAAATACCCCCCCAAACCGCATAATATTAGTATTCAGTGTGTTTAGAGCATTTACGAACCTAGAACTAGCATGCACATACCCCGTAGCAAATGAAATACCCCCCCAAACAGCATAATATTAGCATTCAGTGTGTTTAGAGCATTTATGAACCTAGAACTAGCATGCACATACACTGGGAGGGTTCCATTTCAATAGGTAATTGCAGTAAATGCTACCGTTTGCTGGTAGACATTCACAGCAAGTCACCTGGTGCCAAGAGCCCACATAAGGCCCATCACACCATTTAAAGCCTGGGTGGGACCGCAGAGGGAAGCATCTTTGTATCCTTTGTGCCTTGGAGGGCGACACCATTAAATAGACTAAGGCAGAGAAGCCAAGTCCCAGAGTCTCTACAAAGAGACCACAGAGCTACAACTGACACGCTTCTCTCTGATGGTCTGTCCACCCGGCCCAGTGTTTGTGAGTTAATTCCCTACCCAGTTAAGCCCCCTCACAAAGTATTTATGTGATGAGGGACTAATTCCCCAGACCAGAATAGAAATGAGCATTGGGTATCACATTATAAGGTTTTTTCCCCCTCAGTTTCAGACATCCTTAATTAGGAGTCAATGATTTATGAATCCATAAACTATGCCAGAATATTGACTGTCATTATCTTAAACATCTATATATTAAAGCAAGAATCATGTAAGATAAGAATAGGTCACCTTATAATGTTGTGATTTTATGTTGAGTAATAATCTACTCTCATAACTTAGCATTAATACTATACCCTTAATAGTATAAATTTCACTATTACATTTTAAGCATATCTTTTTTAAGAAATAAATCTAGGTTTCTCTTGAACCCTTCTTCACACAACTTTACATTCTTGTTCACATAAAACAAGTATCTCGTACATCTGGCATCCCTTCCTAAGGTAGCTCAAAGTCTATCACCTGTGAGAATAACTGAACCCTTCTTCACACAACTTTACATTCTTGTTCACATAAAACAAGTATCTCGTACATCTGGCATCCCTTCGTAAGACATCTCAAAGTCTATCACCTGTGAGAATAACTTCAACTGCTTTGGTTTTGCCTTGTACCTT